CGCTCCATGTTGCACGATTCAGTTAAAAGTTAAATAGTTAACCATTGAATATACAGTTGAGTAAAAAAAAAGTTTGGACTCACATATCTTTCCTTGGAAGGTTCTTTCCCTCTCCGATACGAAGGTACAAAGTTGTACTTTTTGCGGACATTTCGGACAGTGAAATGATCTTGACGTCGATCCGATGGAAGAACCAAAACAGGAAACAAGATCAGAGAATGCCGAGAGAGATGTTACTAACTCAGTCAAACAACTCAATTAAGTTTCCGTCTATTTATCAAGAAGACCAAAGACAAGTCTGTTCTGGTTCGTGTTTCGTCTTTTAAGAGAGCTGTTCCAATACCATGTTGCGTAGTAGAAAGTCAGCTTGCATTTAAGGCAGGTCAAGCAGAATGTTTTGCTTTCAATGGTTCTACAATTGTCTTGCGTTCCCTGCATTTAATTAGCAAGCAAAATAAACAGTAAAAGGCCTGTATTGGACAATTAGTGGTGACACCTAAGCTATAATTAGCATAGCTTCACCCTTGCAAGCTATTGGCGCAAATCACAAATATTGCTATTGATTTTTATCAAAAGAAAACGTCCGACAATTTCGATTGTTACGTATTTGACTGACCAGCTACTGTTTAAATTTGCCAGCGAAGAGGTCTTTTGTTTTTATCTTTTTACTGTATGGGGAAGGCGGATATAACTAAACAGATCTTTTACGTAATTCCTTTTCGATGAAGTGTTTTGTTTTGTCATTTCGTTGATGACTCAGTTTACCCTATTAAAAGACTTTTTTTTTAATAAATGGGATTTGTCGACATCTCTTAGTAAAGCCCAGAACTTTTTTCTTTTTTTTCTTTTTGCTTATAGCCTGAATAAATCACAGAGGCAAAGCAGGGCAAATAAAAAGAAAGTCGATGGAAGAGAGAACAAAAGAGAAGGGGCAGTCCCTTTCTCTCACTCTGCAGGAGGTGTTCCAGCTAACCAAAAAAACCCTTACTAATAGGAAACATAAGTCGAAAGTATCCAGGGGCATACCAAACAGGTAAAGCTTTGCAATTCCATCTGAGTCAGAGGAATTGTAGCCTGTACCACATATGAACTAAACTTACATGCATGTATCCAGGTTAGATTATGTCGATCTACGTCTGCCTCGTTGGTTAAAGAATTGGAGAAGAAAATATGCAAAACGTGCGATACACCATAAGCCGCTCTATTTTGAAAATCTGCCCTAACGATCGAAAAATTGGACAAAAAGCTCAGCGGAATACATGATAAATATATACGTAGAGAGAAAAGGGAAGCAAAAATCCGTATTTTAGTCGTAAGTCATCATTACAAAAAAAATATATGTGTACTTCATTTGGGTACAGGTCGGTACACTTTCTAAAAGTCCGTTTTGCTTGGGTCATCGGTCAGGAGGGAAAACAGTCGACTTGCTCGTGCTTCTCTCTCTCTGTCATGCTCTGTTACCGCTCCATTTTCGTACCCCCTGGTCGTTCAAAAAAGCCGACTCGTCGTGAGCAAGCCTATTCTATTGTTTACGCTATAGCTACGCTTTTTCAAGATATTGTAACTGGAATGGATTCGGAAATATCATCTGTATTGCAAATGTTCATAGTTTATGTCAAAGAAATTAACACCAACCAACTATTTAGTATTTTCTTTTGCTACCTTTTTTGGATAAATACTACCAAGATTCTAAGAAAAGATCCGTAGCTGGGCGTCAACCCCAGTAAATATCTGTATAAGTAAATCAATGATCCTGTTATGTGAGGAAAGTCGGAGAAAACGTGTCTAATTAGAAAAGGACTCTATACCAATTTATAAAACGACTCGAAGATTTTTACACGGCGCCGGCTTTAACAAAAGCAGAGCCAGGAGCTGTTAAAGCACCAGGGACCACCGTAGAGCTGTGTTTTTGCTATTTTTAGCAACATCGCATAGATAAACAGGAGGCGGTTTAATATGAGTATTTTCTGGTAACATTTTTTTTTTTTTCGTGTGGTATTTTTAGGGACGTTTTGGAAGTTATGTAGTAAGGCTGTGCGGTAGTTAGGTGTTTACGTACGAACCCCACCCCGTCTTATGGCGTCTTCTTCATTAAACAATAAAGCGCTCATGAGGTCTTAAAAAACGACGAATAAACAAACAAATAACTATGGCAACAGGTCTTTTTCTTAAGATCCCCCCCCCCAAAAAAAGTTGAAACATGTTAGCTTTGTTCAGTCAAGACTAAAGCTTTTCTCTGACGAGTCTACAGAGACGTTGATTCACTGCGTGAGAACTTATGATCAGATAGGCTAGACTTCTCCCAAATAAGGTCTCACTCTAAATTTGGAGAGAGGGGTTAACCCGGCTGCTTGGGGGTTAACCTGCTTGACTCACGCAGTTCCTTCTCAGGTGAGCGTAAGGGTCCTTTGTGTTATTAGGTCGTCTTGATGTCAGAAGAGTTTACTTTACATTGACAACGTTTCATTTTAATCTTTTGGCATACGGAAGGCGCACTTTGTTCATCGTTCAGTAGACCAAGTATTTATGGAACCCACGGCAAAACTGAAAACTACGGAGCCCAGTAAGTGCCATGAAAATTGTGTGCTCGATTTTTCCTTTCTCGACTTTTTTTCTCGCCTTTAAATTTTTTCCAGACTTTTTTCACATACATTAAAGGCCCATTCAAACGTAGAAATGTTTAGAGGCATGGCCAGGTTTGATTCTTGGCTTTGTAACTAATTTATTTATCGCTGGAAATGAAATGTCGTTTAGTTTGACCTCCCTACCTTCCTATCTCACAACATGGCGACTCCGATTGCAATAAAACCCAGATCATAAGAAATTTTCATCTTTATATAATACAGTTGTCTTCCCACATCTTTACTCATGCCGACGTAGCTAATGCTCAAAATTGGGAGGTATTTCCCCTAAAAAATCCGGCCGAGCCTCCTTAACCGCTTCGCCTTTTCTTTTGGCCACACTTCTTTGGTCACGACGAATAGGCGTACATCAAGTACTGTACGTGTTTGCATTATTTTTTGGAGGAAGACTGGACACGAATGTCGTTTTCAAAAATGGCGTCTTCCTTCGGAGTGACGAGTTCTTGAATTTTTTATTTGCTTCCACTTATCGAGGGCTAATATAACAAGAAGAGGCGAAAGACACGTTCTATAATAGTTCACCCGTCCTTATAAACATGTCAAGATCCAAATCAACGCCGGACATTTATAAAGTGACAGTGACGCGAACAAACTCTAAGACTCTGGACGAAGAACTTCTCGAGTTGTGCAACTTGAGCGGGGTAACCCTGGATCCCGATGTATTCAAGATACTGTTGGATTTGATAAAGCTTAACGTTTCTCCGACTTCCTTGGTTAGTATTTTGAAGAAAATTGCTGCAACTAAAGGATATCCCAGCGACACGCCATCGCATTCCACGACGAAGTTGAGTTCCTCAAGTTCGTCGATGGCTACTAGTAGCTTTGACACATTGCAGTCTTCGCATTTGGGTTCAAGCTCTAGTTTAGGGTCAACTCAAACAAGCCGCGAAAGAATTCCGATCTCCAGCCGTTTGAAAGAGTTGAAAGCACAAGCAGCCATGCAACAGTAAAAGAAGCTTTAATTATTTAATTTGGTACGATCAATAACACTCACGGCATGTTTCAAGTTAGTGCAAGTTCTGATCAAAGTGTAATTAACTGCAATATTGAACTTCCCTTTATAAGGGGTCACGCAAAATCTGAAGATGGAGTGGTCGCTTGTCTCAACATATGTACGTTTTCACAGAACATCTATTGCATGCAGTTTTTTGTTACTACATGTGCAATTCCATTTCGTCACTAAAAGGTTTTGAATACTTTGAGAAGGAAAGTTGTTGCAGTGAACTAAGAGATCAGACCATAAGTCAAGCTTCCTCATAGCCTGTTCCAGGCTCTGAGACAGTGGTGAAAGTGAAAAGTCGTTCAAAAATAAGAAAACAAGCGAGGGCTGGGGAGAGACAGGGCGGCGGAGGGTCGTTAAAAAAATGCTAACAGGCTCTCTCTACCATTTTGCCCGCCGCCACCGCCCCCTTTGCCAAGTCGCGTGTGTTATTTTCGCTTTGCTCGTTTAATACGTCCCCACGGTACTATCTGAGAGCCTGGCACAGGCTAGCTTCCTCACGGATCCAGGGACAGTCAGTCAGCTGAAAACGTTTTCTGCCTTTTTTCCCCACCCAACTGACTGCCGCTTGGTCTCTGAGGATGTAGGTCAAGTGTTGCTTCCAAGAAATTAAAAACAATGAAAAATGGAAACTGTCCCCCCCAAAAGTGATTACAGTCTCTTACAAGAGGTTCCTACTATAAACCTTTGACTACGAATATTTTGGTTTTATAAGGGGGTGGTCACTTATGAGAGCTGGTTGCTAATGAGAAGGTTATCACCCATGTTTCGGCTGTACCAAGATGCTGAAAGCACACAAGTTAAAAAAAATGTTAATTTTGAAACACCAGCTCCCCCACTGGTCAGCCTAGTCTGCCTTTCAACATATTTTTTTATCTCTCTTATAATCAACAAGAGTGGTAATAAAATAAAGTAAATCAGTGATCATTCAAGATACAATCTAACAACGTGTTTTCACTTCTTTTATAAGGTCTGTATCATTTTGGGGATTAAAAAAGCACAATGCTAACTGCTTTGTTGACAGCATTGTCTACTTTTGCTCACTACTTTGCAGTTTTCCCTGTCTTCAGTCTAACATAGTGTCTTGTTCAAGCCAAGACATTACTTGGCCTTTCTATTCTCCTTCCCATATTTGCGCCAGTGATTTTTTAAAAAAGGTAGTAAAGGTTTCATTTTGACTTAACACCAGTTGTCCACATTATTTTACTGAGTTTATTTTGGTAAAATCTTTATATGGGCAAACACTTCAAGGAAGAACAGGAGAGATATCTGGAACCGACACATGGATACAACATTGAGCTAGCTTTGGTATATGTCAGGTTGAAAATTAAACAAGGAATGACAAAAGAAAAGTGATTCTGAGCTTACTATTTCCTCACAAGGGGCATTCATTTCCTTGGTTGTCAGTGGTGGGGCACTTTTTTGGAGGACGCTTACCATTTGTCACAATAAGGTTCAATACATGCAAGCAAAAGCCGACTACTGTTTCCATTCATGGTTTAGATTTCCCACTGTTTATTAGCTTTTTCTTCTCTACACAAAAACATTCCATGAATAAATCTGCTGTTTCTGGTTTTGTGAGTTTTACAGTAGGAATTCAACAAAACAGTTTCAAATTTATGCACGCCCCCAACTCCCTCAAAAAGAAACAACAACAACAATAAAAGAAACATTAAAAACTTAGGGTCAGCATTGAATTCGACAGCATTTCCGTAAACACAACTGAAGTCATTTTTAATGGTATGAAGAAATTTTAATTTTTCTTTTTTTTTTTTTTGCTGAAATTTACAACAAATATGCAATTCAAACAGGTTCCATTGACAGCTGAGTGTTGAAAAACTGACACAGTCTTCTCATGGCTCCATATCATCATCTTCCAAACTAAACATGCTACATTCACCAACAATCTCAACATGGTGAACACTGTCAGTAAAAGCAAAAAATAAATAAATAAAATTTAAGCTACCATCATTTATGAAAACACACAGAGCAAATTCATCTAGGATGGTGACAGAAAAGAAATAATATAAAATGTTTTTATTACCATTTATGGGTGGATTCAAGTAGAGGCCAGCATTAGGGGCTCAAGGTTATGTTAAATACATTTCCACTAATGACAAGACATTTTAAAAAAATAACATATTTTCATTTTGGCCTTGAACTCCATTTAAAATCCCTTACAAACTTCAGGCATTGGAATGGTGATCCTTTTGGAAATCACTTGTAAAAAACACAATTCAGTAGAAAATAATAATATTTCACCATACACATAAAATACTGATAGTTTCAAATACATCATAAAAAATTTAAGTTTATCAAAGCATTCTATTTACAGAAGAAAAGTAAAAAGAAAAAGAGTTCTGGAGATACAACTGACTGAAAATGTCTTTACCATAGTCATATAATTCAAACTCAATCTTGAACTAAATCCTCATGGTCATTTTTTTATGAGTCATTTGTAGGTTTGTTTAGAGTTTGGGTTGTAGTAACCTACCCTTTGTCTTCAAACCTTTCTGCTTCAGGGCAGCTCTCCATGATAAGACTTGTACACGAATTAGTACTGCTACTGCTATTGCTGCTGCTAAGTCCATTTCCTCTCTGGTCCTAAAAATAATGACAAAATTCTTACCAAGGCAATGCCAGAAAAATGTACGATGTTTGGTAGAATTTTTTGGTACATAAGAAGAGAACATACATACTGGTAACTGTATTTGCTTTTGACAATGATGATAAATAAAAATAATGATAATGATAATAAAAGGGACAAATATGTAGATTTAAAATTAGGAGTGAAGAGTTTATATCCGGGACACAAAGTTAGCAGTAGAGAAGTTGTATTTGATTTCCTAGCTGCATACTCCATTAACATACAGAAGAAACTTGCTAAGTTTCTGGAAGATAAGAAATTCGTGAATGTAACCATAGAAAGATTGCAGAAATGGATAGTTTCTCTGAACCATGTTCAAGTAGAAAAAGTTCACATTGCACTGACAGTCGTTGTTAAGTACAAAGATAAATTCTAGTTAGATAAGAATATTTTTGTATTTTAGATTTTGACCGCATGACCATTCATTTTCACTTTAAATTATTATCATTGATTTTTATTACCTTATCGTGCATTTTATTCATAGCCTTAGCCTTTGTAGCAAAGTCAAACAAATTTGTGAGTGATAGAGGTAAAAAATATATGTATATTCAGGGCTGCTGCTGTGATTTCAAGTTGCCTGGTATATATTGCAATTAGCAAACAGGAAATTGAACAGCTGGGAATATCTTTTCCTTCTCCTTTTCTTTCCTTACGTAAGAAGAAAGGAGTCATGCTTTTAGTAGCCATAGGAAATCCCTGGTCCCCAGTCTTTATTGACAGCCCTGTATGTACACCTGCAGAATGGTTGTATGCTCCTTGAGCATTTAAGATGTATTTTTTGTGGTGTCACAAGAATAACCTCCTGAATTTTTTTTTTGGGGGGGGCGGGGGGTGGGTAAGGGGGGTGAGGGGCTTCACCTGATCATCTGGTTTGTCCTCTGATGACAAGTTCAACCTGTCTTCTGGACTTTTCCAGGGAATGACTGCTAGGCATGGCTTGCTTCTATGATTATCATAAAAAGGGAAAAGAAGCATATGTAATAAATCTATCATCAATACTGTAAATTGAACTTAAGAACAATATTTTAAAATCCGACCGTTCAGATGCTACCCCTGTGCTCTTACAAAGAGCTAGTTCTCTAAAGGCCTTGTCAGTGTATGCTTTAACAAGCAAAATGGCCTTGAATCAGCAACATAAGGCAGACAAAATGGCAAGAGACAACTGCAAATAACCCTCTGGCTGGATGTGGCTTCTTGACAACAGTCTCTATCTCATCAAAACATTTTTGACTCTCTTTCTGGTGCCAGAGGTGGAAATGAATTTAGGGGACAGCCATGAGACAAAATTCTGGTACCTTTAACGAGTGTTCTCAAAATTTTCCGATGAGCACCCCCGTCACTTTTATAGGGGAGTATCCCGGGGGGGGGGGGGGGGGGGGGCAAAACGCGAGGTAAACAATACAATAGCAACTCAACAAAAAAACAAAAGAAAAATAAAAAAAACATATAGCAAAATAAGAAGACTTCCAACANGCAAATAGGCGTTTCTCCTTGCACCCTGCTGCTAGAGATGTTTCGCCAGGAGGAATGTCTACAACTCAGTGACAGAAATTCCATACTGATGACGTAAATCAATGTTTACATAATAAATCTAGTAGTCATGGGGTTCCGCATTTAAATTTGTTTGATCTAATATGTTTCTCCTGGCTGATTATGGTAAGTCTTGTGATCTTTTGCGAACGAGCTCCAGCAAAACTCAGATGTTTTGCTAAAGAAGAATAATTATATTCTAGGAATATCGACTGTTTTGTAATAGATTCATCACATTTACATTTGACCTTTGTGGCCTTTTGTCTTTTGTCTGTCATTCCTAAACGATAGGTAAAACAAAAAAAAAATGAATATAACTACTACGTCGACCAATCAGAGCTTCTGACCATTCCGGACAGATTATGGTCATCAGTGTGGAATTTCTGTCGCTGAGTCGCAGACGTTCCTCCTGGCAAAACATCCCAAGCAACGAGGAGCTAGGAGAAATGGCTGTATTCACTTGCTACTAGATATGTTTTCTTCTGCAATTTAAAAATGCAAATTATTCCTTACTGAACCCAAACATGTTTTATGGGGTGAAATGTTGAGTTGTTCTCTGTGCACACAAAAGGTATTTGATTGGATGGTATAAACTACACTAAAATAACAGATATTAAACTTACAACTGCTTGAAGATAGCTTCTGGAAGGATTGAATTAGACTGAGTTTCATTCAAAGCTTTCTTAACGTTAGGGGGTATTACAAAAATTGGCAGGTTTTCTTGCCTGTTAAAACACAAAGTAGGATCCAAAGAAAATTAAAATTAGAAACAAACAGCTAAGTGTACTGGGTAATATTAAAAGTAGTGTTCCTGTTTCAACATGCTAATTCTTGCTACATTGGAACTCAGAATAACAGAGCAGTGATTGATCTAGGGAAGGAATCAGCCCTGCTAATTTTTGGGCGTAAACAGAATTACCAGGGCTGAGAAAATACTATTTTCAAGGCAGGGCCTCCATCTTATCCTAAGGTCTGAAAGGGAACCCTGGCCCCCTCCACTTACTTGAAGATTAATATTTTGTTGAATCTAAACAGCAAAGTAACATAGAACTGGGAAAATGTGTTCCTTATGTAGCCTTCCACGGAGACGTTCTTACAGGTTCGTCACGCAATCATTCCTTTCCCACGTGGGGTAGTAACGTGTGATGAACCCCTAAGAACGTTTGCGTGGGAGGCTACTCCTTATGATGAGAGTCGTTATATTTTGGTCTTATCCAACACTATACTTAACGGGGACAGAAAGTATAATCCACTATATTGAGTTGTTTGTTCTTTGGGGATTAATTATATTGCGATTCTACCATACAATGTGGCTGGATTTCTGTTGTCTCCCAGATTCAGTCTCTCTCTTTCAGGGGGGCGGGAGTGACTGCCAGCTTATTTTCCTGAACTGTGGCTAGTAATTGAGCCTACCATACTATCTGTAACTTTCTGTTATAAGAATGATAGTACTGGTATCAGGTTGAAAATTGTATGCCAGATGCATACAGAATGAAGGTTGATTTACTTTGTTCTTCAAATAAGCTATAAGCCACCTTAGAATAGGAAAATTTTGCTCTAATGTAACCACACACATTATGCTAACATAAACATTCACTTTGAGACACAGAATATAATTTCTCCTCCTCTTCTTTTTCAAAGAGCTGTTATTTTCTTTCCCACTCACCTTCTGTCTGTGCTCTCGTCATTATTTTCAAACTCTTGGTCATCACTATCAACTGGACTTTCAGAACTACCAGGTGGCTGATGTGCAACAAACTGATCTAAATACCTTTGCATAATATTTACAGGATAATTGTGGTCATTGCTTATTCTTAAATTGTGCATTCTCGCAGCCATTCTTTCCTCTGACAAAAATTGTTTAGTGGATGGACCACCCTGGCTAAAAGACAAAAAAAGAAAGAGTCATGTTAGACTACTGCAAGTACAAAAGTATATATAGCATAATGGCTAATGAGTTGAAACAGATAACTATAAAACAAATATTTCAAGTAACAATGTTTTGAGAATCCCAGCTAGCTGAAGGCAAATCAGTTGGCTATTCACAAGCTTTGCCAAGGAGAAATTTAGCAGGTAGTTTGAGCAGGACTAGAATATGGGACCTCTAGATTACAAGACATTTCTATAGTGCTCCAACCCGTCAGATAAGCTGCCTTGAGTTTTGTCTTTAGTTCTGGAAATGACTGACAGTTGATTGTTTGATGCCTGTCATTGTATTGCAATAATTCTAGCCTAACAGCAGCAGTATTTGGTCTCAGATGTTACAATAATTATATGTTGACAGCAATGAATTTCCAGTAGAGTCAATTTGCACATTTTCTTCTTTTCAGTGTGATCTATCATGATGCTAGGGCCATAACATTTATAATCTTACTGATTATGCATTGGATCACAAAGGATCTTGGATATTATTTTGAAAGCACTGGAGGTTTTTTTAAATATTCCTCCTATTGACTATCAAGAAAGGTTTACTCCAAGATGAAGAAATTTTGGTTTTTCTAGTATGTAGTTTGGCTTACCCTTCCTCCCTATCAGTGGTACTACTTTTCCGTTTTGTTCTACTGCCCAAAGTACTATCATCGCTCCTTTAAACAAACAAACAAACAAACAAACAAATAATACAAAAAATAAACACACTGACACTATATAAGCACTTGATGTAAGATGTCCTCCGGGATTATTCATGTGGTATTAACGTGCATCTGCGCACAGAAAAAGTCCCATCAGTTTTCTGGTAAAACTGGACAAGACTGCTGTAAACTTGCTCATCTTTGCTTTTTGCTCGTGAAGAAATTGTTGTTGTTTACAGCCACCTTTTACATGAAAGATCAAATCTGTCTAGTATTGTGTGATCCTCCATAACTTCTCCTGCCAGTGTAAATTTTATCTTTGTGCAAGGCATTTGTTGGACTTACAATAAACTTGCATGATCACACACTTAATGTAGTTGTATCCTCCCTCCGTTTTTTCCTTATTTGCAGAGACGGAATTCTTCACATAGGCTAACAGACTGGCCAATGGCATTGATTTTGTGTGGCTGGCATAAATTTTCTTTTGCTTATTTTTTGTCTTCACACAATTCCTACTCTACTATCTTTACACCTGAAACAAGCTTACTTCATCCTCAACTTTCCCAGGTACACCACAAACCAATTTTTAGAAAGACCAGCTCCAAGTTGGCTTGGTAGCGCAACTGGTTAAAACCCTGCACTGGTATCGTAGAGGTTTGGGTTGAATCCTGGCAAGCCTGTATTTTTTCAGGCTTTCTTTTCACAACCAGTGTTCTTATCATACTGCGGCATTGTGACATTGCCGCACTTTTTCGGGAAATGCTGCACTATAATTAGCCCAAGGGCGCAAAGAAGGAAGAAAGACCTATTACAAAACATATGTACACATATGTACACATATTCCCTTACAATATAAGCCAAATGGTTAATTGGTTATGGCATCTTTACTCTAATTCACAGCTGTAAAACATTGAGTTAACTGTATGTAAAATTGGATATTTATTATCTTAGAATTTACAAGGGATTTACTCTTACTCAGACCTGTGAGTAAAGCATTGAGTTGACTTTATCTGAAAATTGTGACCACTTTTCTCCCTCATGACCCCTTTTAGCTTCTCTATGGGTCCTGTGGACCCCAGAGTGGAAAATCCTGTTAAGAAATTTGCACAACTTTATACTGTAAGTTTCAGCTGTAAGGATCTTTTATTATTATTATTATTATTATTATTATTATTATTATTATTATTATTATTATTATTATTATTATTATTATTATTATTATTATTATTATTATTATTATTATTATATCAATAACATTATTACCTTATATCTGTTACTCTTTGTGGTATTCCTACATTACTAGTACACATGTTGTCACTGGAAACACTGGCAGAAGAAAAACTTGGAAGTTCCACGTCTGATGCTATTCCAGTGTTTATTGAACTTGACCCCTGCAGGGTGTTAACATAAGAAGATGGAGAAGGAGAAAATGTTTCACCTTCATTACTGTTTGATTGCATTTGTATTGAGGGATTTTGCAAAGGCCGCAGAGAGAATAGCCCTTCATACTGAATGGTACTCGAAGTTGCTGAATTTGAAACATTTCGCTGTGGCTGTCCTTGGCGATGATTTAATATATCTAAGTTTCTAGACAGACCAACACGCTCATTTCTTTGTTGTGGAGCTGGGAACTGAGGGCCTCGTAGAGAGTATCTTAAGCCATTTTGACGATTGTTTACTGGATTGAGATTTCTTGCTGAAGGAACACGTTGTGCTTCTCTTTGCTGACTCGAGGGGGAAAATGAATCTTCGTTATCCCATGAAATAGTTCCATAAGGGATGCTGTTGTTATTGTCCATCGTGGCGGTGGTGTGTCTGTCAAATGGCCCCGGCGAAAACTTGAAATTTTCATACGCGAAGGTTAGTAAATGGGACGGTTTTGCTTATCGTAGTAAAATGACCAATAGCAAGGAGAAAGGGTATCCATAATACACAGAATTTGTCCTTTTCTTAGGTAGAATTATCCAATCATATCAAACATAGCAAATCCTTCAAAACTACAATTTCAAATAGTCGCACGCAAAGAAATGACAATAAGTAAGGGAGGGGTGAGTCAGGTCCATGTTTTCGAAAAATGTAGAAAGAGTGCAAAAAGTTATGTGGTAAGAATTAAATTACTTGAAAAGACTATTATTTATTGAAAGTGGTTATTAAAACGATGATATATGTTTAGTAGAATCTATAAAACGGGTTTTTGACTTTCCATAGCATCCCCTAGCTGGACCCTGTAAGGTATGCTAATTTATTATCTATATCGCAGGCTCAAGACCTCTCATTCCAAGATGGCGACCAAAATGACGACTTGCATCTGTTGTTTGCAACAGGTTTCTCGGCTCTGCCATCCAATCCTCTCGGACAATTCTCATTATTTCCTCAGAAAAGGATGCTTAGTACGCTTCATGAGCACCAGTTACAATTATTTATGGTCGAAAAGAAGAGATTTGCCCTTGTTTCCAGTTTCTCTCAAGACAGTATTGGGTGCTGGAGTGAAACTGAACTGCAGATATTCGAGTTCAACAACCGCTGATGAACCTCCAGAGCTAAGTAAGGGAATCATTATCAGGTAGTTTATACTTGCAGCTATTTTTGATCAATTTTTACCCCTACCTCACTTCCATCAATTCATATCTTACAAGGTTGTGCTCTAAAGAAAATTGTAGAGAGCCCAGTGCTCTGATCCTATAAAATCAAGGGTGCCCAGCATATGATTTGTTTGAAAAAGCTAAGATCTTCTAGTAGCCTGAGAGCAAAAGTTGGGCGCCAGGGGCCACTGGGCTCTGCTAGAACACAGCCCTGTCTTATATTTAATGTTGTGCACTACAGATCAATTGTTAGACTGCATGCGCAAGCTCCAGAAGGGGGAAAGAGGAAAGGAAAGCACATAGCTTGCATGCAGGTGGCATGATCTCTGCTCTAAGAACCCGTTGTAATATTATTTCCCCTGGGTTTTATAACTTGTTGGAATTTTTATCCATATAATTTAGTGTGCCGCACATCAAACGTAGTAGACTGCGAGCAGTCCCTCAGGATGGTCACGCGAGCGAGGAAATCGAGTGCGTGAGCAGTCCCTCAGGATGGTCACGTGAGCGAGAAAGTAAAAAACATTTTGCTCTCTCCAGTTCTGCCGAGCTTAGACTCGACTGACTGAAGAGGGACTGCTCGCAGTCTACAAACGTAGTAACTGTAATAACATGCCCTCACTCAAGGGCTCTACAGTAGAACCTCGATTTAATGAAGTGCTAAGGGACTGGGGAAATTTGTTTATTATATCAAGGGTTTATTATATCGAACACCTTGATTTAACAAATTTTTGAAAAAACAACCAAAATGTTTGTTATATTGAGGTGTACTTAATAACTAATTTACAAAACCCAGCATTCCTAGATCTGAACAATTACTTTAATAAAATTTGTTCTAACACCTATGTCTCAGTACCGAGCTGTATATAGCCGCGGCATTAGGAACTCAGTAACAGGCAAACAAAACTGCTTAAAACTCATCACATAAATATTATCCTTGTTGGGCTGTTTGGCTTTCACCTTTTATCACATGTTGAAATTTATCTCAAGAAAATAATTTGTTATATCAAGGTCTTCATTATTTAGAGGTTCGTTAAATCAAGGTTCCACTGTGGTTTTGATTTTCGCTTTTGAAGTCAACAAAATGTCAGAAAGGCCCTTTTGGGCAAAGTTTCAACTAATTTTGTTTCCAATTGTAGCCTTTGAAAGCCTTTCAGACTTAATAAGGGACAGGCTGCAAGAATCTGTAGGTCAAGGTTCCTTGGAAAACCACTTAATGCTTCTAGAAGCTTTGATCAAGCACTGGAAAGGAGAGGTTTTATCTGTTGCTGTCACAAGGATAGCACAAAATTGTAAGTCATTTTGGATACTATTTTGGTTGTTAAACATTCACACCAAAAATTCAATGGAGAAGTATCTGTCTTGTGCAGAACATAAAAACAAGGTTTTTTTCTGTTTTAAATCTACCAGTATATTTTCTTTAAGGTGGCTTAAAAATTGTGTATGACGATAATTACTAATAACTGGTGAATTAATTGAGTTATTATGATTAGAACTTGTTTTTTAAAAAATTATTTATTCAATTTTATAATAATAACATCGTTAATATTTTTTCAGTACCTGCAAAGGATGTCTATAAACTTGCTGCACTTATTTTTGACACCCAGAAATCAGGTAAGAGACTTATAAAATTAATACAAAATTAATTTTTACTTCCCCATGCAGTTTCACATGTATTATAAAAAAATGTTATAATCCTGCTAATTGGCTTTCAGTTTTGAAATGACATGTACAGTTTTGAAATAACATGTACATTACCCTATTAATGCTAAAATCAGTGCTGCTGGTAGGTAATAAAATTAGAGAATTTCGTTACAAATATAATTACGGTAAATGATCGATTAAGCGCCGCGGCTCTTATTTCATTTTCCCTGTTATAAGTATGGTGCCTATACAAGAGCTGCGCTTTTTCCAACTACAGACAAAACACTAGAGAATTAAGTGAGGTGCGCTCTGCACAATTTAATGTGAAATATGTGCACCTTGAACTGTTACATGAACCCGTTTTCAGGTGTTTCCAACTTTAGAACTCATGAGTTGGTTGAGGTCTTATTTCTTAAGTGATATGGTTTTGATATCTCTTTATATCAAGCTCCATAACAAAGGTGGGGCGTAGTCTCAACTAAAAAGTTTTCCTTACCTTTGCAGTTGGAAAAGCTGCAGTTGAATTGTCTGCACCATTATTTAGATTTGCAGCAATGGCTGGTGATATGGATGGAATGTACAGCTATGGCAAACTGCTGGAATCAGGTCAAGTACATGTATATGAGTTGGTGGGGAATCGGTTAAAACATCTGGGTGTAGTCAAAGGACATGATGAAGAGTCCAAGCCACAGTCATTACTCATTCAACTCAATCTTAATAGGGCACTTACCACAACTATTAACCAGGACTATTCAGCAAGATCAGTCTATTAATAGTGTGCACAGCAGTAATGGGTTTTATTAAAATATTGAGAGAAGACTAACATAGTAAAAACCAGTGACCAAGAACCAGGGCCCAGTTGTTCAAAGGGTGGATAACGCTATCCAGTGGATAAATCTCTATCCAGAGGATATAGTGCAATCGGTTTTCCTAATACTTATCCACTGGATAGTGATTTATCCGATGGATAGCGCTATCCAATGTTTGAACAACTGGGGCCTGGGTTTTAAGAACCTGTCAGGCTAAAATTTGCCAGTCAGGCCTCCTCTTTATAAGAACCTGTTTAGCCTAAAATTTGAAACAAGTTTTTATTCTCTACAATCTATTCAAACAATTTTGAACAACTGGGCAAATAAGTCAACATTCAGGATCCTCTTTGGAGACAGGTGCCTTGTCACTCCAACTGCAATGTAATGTAATTAATGTAATTATATAAGGAATAAGCTGAATATCACTAAATGCTCTTAGCTATAATGTATTTTTTTTCAGAAAATGAGAACCTATTTAAGAATCTAAATAGCCTAAATCTGTGCTAAGTGCCATCCCAGTAAGAACCTAAGAACCTACACTGTACATGTATTTTAGCTAATTTGGGAAAATCCAGGTTGTTAGTTGCAGGTTTTTACTGTATTTCAATTTCAAAATGACCAGTATAGCAAGGCAGTTCTGACTTTTGGAAAGCACCTTTAACTTCAAAGATAAACCCTAGTCAAACGTGACTCAATTAACTTTACATTAGGACTGAGCTATTTTTGACGGAGAGACCTTTTTTTTAGGAAGAGCCATGAGCGAGGTTTATGATACACCAATCATTAACAACCACGGTGATACAAATAGTTCTACTCAGTAAATCGACACTATCACCTGATGAAGATCTGCAGTGTGCGGCCGAAATGTCATGATCGATATCAAAGTGAAAATATTGTAGACAAACAATAAAACTAAACCGTTTATAGTCATGTAAAGTTAGTTGATCACTTCTTGCATGAAAACAAAATTGGTAATTCCTGGCTATATGAAAGAAACAATGCGTTATTGTGTCAAAACAAACAGTTTATGTTTACTTATTTAAGGAATTCACATAACCAGTACATTCTTTTTAACCAGATTATTAATTTTCACCCCTGCAGGGGAGGGTGGAGTGGAAGTAGACCCTCTCGAAGCTGCAAAAATGTTCTCAGAGCTGTCAGAACAGGGGCACCCATTTGCCCAGGTAAAGGACAAAATTAACTTGTCAGAATCTAGCATACAGGTATCATGTCATTACTAACAACATGGTTTGAAAGTGTTTTATTTAAGTGTTAGATGGAAGTGTATTTAGCATGATGTGCCACTATTGAAAACAGTTTTTACATGCCCTGCTGTGAAGGAGACCACCATTTTGTCAAATACATGGTCATAAAAAAAGCCAACTTCAGGAAGCTAAGGACTGTCCATTTGCAGGGCAAAGGCAGTATCATATTCTTCTGTGATTTTAAGACCTTGGTCGTTAGTTTAGCCATTGGAATTGTATGACCTCCAGCTCCGCTGCCATCCCTACAACAGTTTAGACTCTTGCCAACATTTTCACTTCTCTTACAGTTTTCCCTTGCACAATTATATCACAATGGTATTGAAATGACAAAGGACTTNAAATGTCATGATCGATATCAAAGTGAAAATATTGTAGACAAACGATAAAACTAAACCCTTTATAGTGATGTAAAGTTAGTTGATCACTTCTTGCATGATAACAAAATTGGTAATTCCTGGCTGTATGAAAGAAACAATGCGTTATTGTGTCAAAACAAACAGTTTATGTTTACTTATTTAAGGAATTCACATAACCAGTACATTCTTTTTAACCTGATTATTAATTTTCACCCCTGCAGGGGAGGGTGGAGTGGAAGCAGACCCACTCGAAGCTGCAAAAATGTTCTCAGAGCTGTCAGAATGGGGGCACCCATTTGCCCAGGTAAAGGACAAAATTAACTTGTCAGAATCTAGCATACAGGTATCATGTCATTACTA